TGACAGGTATGATTAGATCTTGAGGCTCCTATGGGGAACGTGGTGTCGAAAGGAAAATAGAAGATTATTCAATTATAATTTTTAGGACTCGTACGAAATGTGATCTGATATGGAAAATTTTGAGTTCTTTTAATAGCACAAAGAAATAAGACGTTAGAAGGGTTACAAATGTGTAACTATAAGGCCGCAATTAAAAATATCTTTGTTTCCCCTTACCCTACCCACCATTTTGGAAGTGGGTAGGTAGGTAGGCTTTTTTTTTTTTTTTTTTTAGAGAAAATCCCTGAAATATATCTAACACACAGGAAAACAACAAATTGAACTTTATTGATACTAAAACAACATACTGTATAACGTATTATGCATGACTAGAAGACCTTACAATTTCAGACTAGAAAATGTTTGTAAATATATAAGTCTTTGTGACTTAGAGTAGACCACATATAAATTGAGACACGGTTCTATATTTTTCTTATATTTTTATTAATTCAATTGAAAATATAAAACCCCAATGAGACTGCTACCTAGTAACATTCGATGCAAAAAATATGTACACTTGTTTTTCATTTAAGGAAATACTAGAAGCCACAAACCGTGATCCAAGCGAGTATGGCTATGCCTATTAAGGCTTATTCTAGAAAACTATGAATTTATTTTTAACAATAAACTTTACCATGAAACCTTGGGCGTGCCTATGTGCGGATCAGCATTCGCTGAGTTAGCAGACCTTACAATGTTTGTTAATTCTTGAACACATTTTACAATGCTTTCAACACAGAGACACAAAATGATAATGATAGTTGAAGTTCGCCTACGTATTTTCCTGTAATGAAACAATATTCTTAGACACTGTCATAATTATACAAAGGAGAAAGATTCTTTAACGAAGGCATAGTATGATACAAGACATTAAAACCAATATCAAACCAACTGAAACATATCAATATCTGCACAGACACAGCTCACACCCAAAAAGTGTTTTCATTGAAAGGATTTATCAAGGGTGAAGTATTGAGGTATCCCAGAAACACAAGCAGCAAAACTGATCTTAAAAAAAACAGTAAGAAGCTCAAACGAGGATATCAAATATCTGAAATCAACGATTTTTTTTTATCAAACACAAAATACAGAAAGGGAAAACTTGCTAACACATCGCCCAGCGAAACGGGAGCAACCGCTAGTAATGTTAACAAAATTCAACCCATCTATACAGAAACTAAAAATATAATAATAAAACACTGGCATCTTATTTCACAAAACCCTGAATGTGTGACCATATTTAATCATCAGCCCATTATAGCTTATAAACGACATAAAAACTTACAAGAACTGTTATCAAAGAATTAGCTGGTATAGTCATCTCGACTTTTCACAACACAATATGATACTGAGCTCGAAAAAAATCAACTACTATTTTATCCAAAGACAACTGGTGTATGGTCCAATATAACATACGAAATGAAACAAAATAGCATAAATAGCACGCCAATATACAACTTATTGAGTCGACCACTGATGAAGGCGAACTCAGGGATTTACCACAAACACGGCAGAAACACCGGGCCTAACATTTAAGCTCAAGGGTGAGCTCGGATGCGCAATCGTAACTACTCGGCCATTCTCGCTACGTATTTTGTTATTGGAGGCGTAGCTAGAATGGCAGAGTAGTTACGATTGCTCGGATGCATTTATTTAAAACATTATTCCATTCCAATTTCAGTATCCTTGCATACGTTGTTTACCCTTTGCTGCAAACACACGGGCGACAATGATTTCGCGGAATGTTGAAAATACGGACCATTCAAGGAAACGAAATTAAAAAACGAACTTTTCAGCGAAACCAAAAAAAAAAAAAAAACAACAACGTGATTTTCGAAAAAATTATTTCAGTCGGCGGATTTTTAGTGGGTCGGTCGGGTAAGGGGAAACAAACTTAATTTTAATTTTGGCCTAAACCAATGACTCGTATGTAATTTACGGGAAAGATTTTATCAAAAGTTTGTTGAAAACTTTCAATTTCAAACCTTCTTGGTTGGAATGAATATGTTCGATTTATATGCAAATAGGTCTTTATTATATAATATATTTAAATTATCTTCATTAATTACAATACAATATATAACATGTATCTATGATATCCTCCGTAACGACTAAATATATGTACAGGTAAAATTAAATTCTGATCAATCGGGTACAGATTGATTTACGACCTTCCACTGGTATTGCACAAGCAATATCACAGCAGGTGTTAAATACACTAGGACAAGTGTCAGATCAGTTTGACATCCTGCCCGATTACGGTATCTTCCGGAGACTCTATAAGTACAAGGACTGATTTTTTTTCTAAACATGACAATTGTGAAGAATTTTTTAAAGTGAGAACAAAGTTTCTGACCCAAACTATCGATTCACATTATGAATCTATCATGAATAGTAGATTAGTTTACGTTTTTTAACGTAAATACGATTTCCATTCATATATTAAAAAAATTGTAGTTGTCTTTTGCAAAGATAACACATGTATTCATCTTGTTCATTGGTCACATTAAAATAGATTTTTCTTTAATGAACAATGACAACATTTGATATTTATATCGTAAGTAACTTTATTATCAAAAACACCGTTTTATCTCGACCGAAAAGGGAAGTAAGATAGTTTTTTTAATCTGACTGTAAACATTGTATATATCACAACGATCTATTAATAACCGTCGCTCACGCATAACGGATTCTATAATCATCTATGTACAACGATCTATTAATAACCGTCGCTCACGCATCACTGGTTCTATCACTGACTCAATACACACCCGTTTTATCGGACAAACGGCTAATTCCCGCCGACACGGAAAATCTCCGGATAACATGCATAATATTCTGTAATACAGCAAATTTACGATGAACCTCTAATTATTATCCGTTTCGCGGAGATTAGCCAAAAATCGCGGGCATTTTCCAAATAGGTCTACCAGTGATGTATTATCTCAATAAAAGAATGAACTATTCATGTTAGGTATAATAAATAAACACATGTATTATTTGAACTCTGGTGGATAGTTTGTTTCATTTTGCTACATGTACAAACGTAAAAAACAAAAAAAAACTAAAATGTTCATCAATTTGAAGTCACAATAGTATATTTGCCAATCTGTAATTGACCCTGTAACTTAAAATCCATTCCTACAATAATCTGTGGACAATGTGTGTAATCTTTAACTTTTCCAAATCTTTTAATCAAATTTGATGTTTTGTCAAGCTAAAACTTTTGATATCAACATGATCAATAGTTATTTTCATTAAAATTGAGATAAAAAGCCTTCATTTCACATACAACTTATCCTGCTTTGCTTGGGCACCAGCCCATTTAGTACAATATAGAACCAGGCTTCAATTGACAAAGGGAAACAACTTGTGTTAAAAGTGTGTAATAACAGAATCAAATTGGTAATTGACAAATACAAAAAGATGAACATGTAGACTATTGAGACCTCATGATCAATATTATTCTCACATGAAATTTCCCCTGAAATGTTGAAATGGTAAATGCAAAGCTTAAGGTAATAAACATGATAAATTTTATACAATAACTTTATATGTATAACAATCCTCTTACTAAAAAATTGTATGTTTAGACTTTTTTTAATGGTGAGCATCATGGTAACCAATGTTTATACAATGTACATGTACAGGTCATTTCGTGACATCATCAGTATTGATTCCTACACAAGCAAAACAGTTGTTCTGATGAAATTTTGTATAAATGCATCTTGAAATAATTTTTACAGCTTTTACATTGAATTCAAATTAGAAGATTAATATTACCGAGTTCTGGTGTGATAATTAAGTCTCTTACTAAAAAATTAAACATAAAGTCCTACCGACTTACATTGTAATTCATTTTGTGAGCTTGTCTGCAGAGTTTAGAGACAATAAACTCATTCAAAATATCCTTTAATATTTGGAATATATCCCTTTGGCATTTTTTGCCTCTCTTTTATTACTACAGATTACAAATTAATATGATTTGTTAAAAGTTCATTTTCTTTTAATTTTATTGTTGCAGCCAAACATGTACAATGTTAATTTAAAATTAAACTCAGAATGTAAATTACTGTTGTCATCTGAGGTATCAGATTTGAAAGTTGAATCAATAAGGTTCATCAAAAGAAATCAACAATTGTGGTCATGTTTACAAGACAAGATTTAATTAGATTACATACATGTACAAATAAACCTGTGCACATGACAAGCATGTACATGTAGTTTTCAGGCATGGCAGGAACTGGATAAAAAATCTTTAAAAAAGACATGCTTGCTGGGTTGCTCTCTCATATTTATTCCCTGTTATGGCTGTAGTTTAATGAATTTTTAATTAAATAGTATTAGTTATTTTTACAAAAAGTCTGAAATTCTTATTTCTTAAAATGTCAGTAAAAATTGAAAATACTACTGGAAAGTGGAAACCTGTACATTTTGTACATGTAGATTTGTACAAAATCTTATTCTTCATGCTTTCAATACACTGATCTAGGGTTATTTTTTTTTAATGAGTTAAACCTTTGACCAGAGCTCAATCAGTGTAAACAACTAAACAACGTCATTGAACAATCAGTTCTTACAGAGACGTAATAACATAAGCATGGGGACATAGGAAATTTTATGGGAAACTCGGAAAGTGCACGATTTCGAAAGTCGTTTATTACATGTATAATTTTTTTTTGTATATCAAAACTGTAACACTAAGATACAAAATGTAGGTATGCTAACTGAGAGATGTCTGTAGGTATTTTTTCTTTGTTGGTTGCTGTTTCATTGATGTATGGTCCACTGTATACAATTATACTTTATGACATAGCTAAATGTATTTGTTTATGTTTTTAAAAAGTTAATCTACTGTACATTGTATACCACTCAATATGCAAACATCAGCACAACTTTTTATATAGTAGAAGCTTACTACTTCAATCCATCATCTGCTCAAAGAAATCAAAAATACTGACCTGTCCATGATTTATAAATCCAAATTCCTTTGCAAGATTATTCGCTTTTGTGACGCTCCCCCCTTTGATATGGACGGCAAACTGATTCACATAATACGCTGAGCATATGTGACTAGATAAAAATAATAAAGTTAAAAAATAATAAATAAACGTCCGGTAATTGCTGATATTTCCAGAAATAAAGGTTTTTCTTTGGAAAGAAAGACATGTGAATGGATTTGACTTCATAATGAAAAAACTGTTGCAAGTCCTCCTCTAAAACCGGAGACAACTGTATAAGAAGATCGAATTGTTGGAACTCTATATCATTTCTATGACAATATGTCGAAATCTTTTGTGTATTTCGTTTAAAACATCTTTCACACCAAAACACGTCACGTTTCTGAAGTTTACATCCTACTTCCGTGAACTTCAATGATCCCTTCAGGCGCCCCCTGGTGGTGGATAGAAAAGATTGCATACTGTTACAAGTTTAGCTTTTCAAAAAGCTTGTTGTTTATTCAAATCGGTAGCATTGTATTTACGGTAGACACCTGGGACCAATATATAAATATTCATGTATTTTTGCAAAGTAAACACATATTCTTTATTAATTGAAAACATTTTCACTATTGTTTTGCAAAAAAAGAAAATATTGTGATGGATTTTTAGGAAATATTTGTTTTCAAAACCACATGCGCTTAAGTTGAGTACAGGATTTGGGTATTGTTTTGTTTTCATTGTTTGCACAGACATATAATACCATTATATTTCTTTGTTTGCACTGAATATTTAATTTTCGAACTTAACACGACATTAGAAAACAACAAGGCAGCTAAATTTTCACTTATGTGCCCGGAAGTTTTATCAAAAATGCACTGGATGCATGCTAACATTTTTCCCGAACTGTTACCTCAGGAAAATAATTTTGTAAGCGATTTTTTCGAGCACATTAAAAAATAAATTATGGGGAACAAAAATTTTTGGTGTACATTAAACATACACTATCTACGTACTGTGTATAATAACCAGAATCATGATAAACATGACGCAAATTTCAACGACAATCGTCAAAACTCTACGATAATACTTATTTCATAAAGGCGTAGACAAAAAAAAAATCTGAACAAAAACAGTTTTGACATATAAATGTTCTAAAATGGTGGAAAAAGTAATATCAAAATATGAGCTTGCAAGATAATGCAAACGATTTTTTTTATTTAGGGAGAGCAAAAATCGATAAAATACCACCATTCCACTGAACGAGAAAACATGTCATTTGTTATTCGGTGATGTAATTTATATCATAAATATAAGAAGCATGTACATCCATCTTCTAAAATATGTGATGCATTATTAGATTTTTTTACCTTACTTTTGAGATATACGTATGAAACATCGAAAACTGGAATTTTTACAGTTAACAGAGAATAGGTGAACTATGGTATTTCATATATCTGATACAAATACAGTCCTTATCTTTCATTGCTAAAACAAGAACCAGAATAAATTTTTTTTATTTTTTCGTCAAATTTTGCTTTGAAGAATCGTATTCGTAGGTGTTTTCCCTAAGAGTACAAGGATATAGCTGTTTATTTGCCAATCCTGCGGTGCCCTCAAGGTTTAATTATGTTATTGACCGTTACATTACAATTACAAAATGGATTTGTAATTAGAATAAAAGTAAGCATTGTATGCAGCAAAACAGTTTTAGTATCTAATTGATCCGGTCGTACACCAGGCCGTTTCAGACAGAAAACAACTTAACAGTTTCAAAAGAATTCTGGAATTTTCACAATTTACGAACGAACACAACTTTTCGATAACTCACGAATATGCACCGTAATATATTAATAAATTATTCAAAACCAAAATAACAATAAAAAAGAGTTTAAATTGAACTTTTATACAAAATTGGTTCAAAGTTAAGCATTACATGAACAAATCATCACACGCTACCAGCCAGAACGTAAGAAATTAAGCTAATTGGATTTTTTTGGGAGGCGGGATTACACTGGTTTCACAATCGTGTAAAGTGATGGTCCTACGCATCATAGTGAATAATACAGTCATAATAAAAAGATCACAATCTGTCATTTACTTCACTCTTGATCAGGGGCGGGTCCAGGTAAGGGCCTATGATTGCGTTGGATAAAAACTGCATTTTTTATACGTGTGCATGCAAAACAAATTTCTTGGTAAAGGGGTCTAAATACAGCACAAACAACATTTTCCAAAAGACCAAAACAGTGAAAAGGTATATTTTAACAAAACGGGTATATATATATATATATATATATAGAAGTCTATAAAAAGGACCAACCAGCAAATTTACTATGTACCGGATCGTCTAGAATAGACGATACTGTGCAGATAAGGAAAAAATTATATAAGTCTAGAGATTTGCACAACGATACTAATATAAGATGGTATTATACGAAGATGTTGTTAATAAATCGTGTTGACAAATATTTCGGCTTAACAAATAGCCTTCTTCGGTGTCAATTATTTTAACAATACTGATAATATGTATAAAATTGCTCAATAATACAGGTAAGTTTTGGTCTATTGATTTAATCCAAAATCCTGAACATCATAATATAAAACAAAACTCAATACTCAAATATACGTGACTGTGTATATTTACAACCCAAAATGAGTGAAAAATAAAACTTAGTATTTTTTATTGATGCCGTTTGGATGATGTACATTTAGTTCCTTTATCCAAAAGCTTTCCCGAACCTGTCGCTGGGCATCACTCCAGTGAATGTTCTGTTCAATCACTAGGATCTTCATGCGGTTAAAGTCATCAAGTGTGTGACCAGACTGTCTGAAATGCTGAGAAACTGGGAGAAGTGGCTTCTTAGAGATATCACTCCTATGGCCATTGAGGCGTTTGTGGAAAGGCTGCTTTGACTCAACAACATATTGGAGGCCACAAACCGAACATTCTAGAATGTAAATAACATTCATACTTTTGCAGTTAACATTGCAAAATATCTTATAGTTATTTTCGGTTGCCTTACTGTGAAAAGTTGATGAGTGATGCATCTGTAGGCAGCATTTGCAGCGTTTTTCATCACACGAACGACATTCTCCAGAAGTACTTCTATTATCAGACACTTCAGCCCGCACCAGCAGGTTACGCAGACTATTGGGTTGCCTAAAAGCTATCATGGGAGGCTCGGGAAAAATCTTGGATAGTTTGGAATTCTTTTCAACTGTTTTCCAATGCTCACGAATGACACCGAAGCTGTTTTTGAGAGATGGGTGGTAAGTAAGAACACATGGAGTCCTTTTATTTTTCTTTTTATATTTGTATTCTAACAGTTTACTCCTTGGAATAGTTTCCGCTTTCTGAAAGCCTTTTTGGATAGTTTTGTGTTTGTAGCCCCTTCTCTTCAAGCGGGTTTCGAGTTGACGTAGTTGTTTTTTAGTTGTTTCTGAGTTGGAACATATTCGCTTGACTCTGAGTGCCTGACTGTACGGGATGCTCTTAGTACAATGAGCAGGATGGCAACTTTTAGGGGACAGATATTGGTGAGTGTCAGTAGGCTTAGAATATAGATCAGTGGATATGATGCCATCTGTGAGCGAGCTGGAGGTATCGAGGAAGGTGATTTTGGATTTAGATTTCTCATGAGTAAATTTGATACTTGGATGTATGTTGTTAGCATGAGTGATGAATGTATCTAAATCCTCGTCACTTTTATTCCATTTCATATCCACATCATCTATAAATCTAAACCAGGAAAGCGGTTTTTCGATGGAAGATTCAAGGAGTTGTTTTTCTAATTTGCCCATAAATATGTTGGCATATGATGGAGCCATTTTGGTGCCCATAGCAGTTCCATTAACTTGCAGATAATGGTCTCCATCAAAAGTGAAGTTGTTGTTTTTGAGTACCAGCGTGAGCATTTTGACCAGGCATTCAGTAGGTGGATATTTCACTGGTCGGGAATTCCAAACTTCTTTACATGCTACAAACACAAAACTATCCAAAAAGGCTTTCAGAAAGCGGAAACTATTCCAAGGAGTAAACTGTTAGAATACAAATATAAAAAGAAAAATAAAAGGACTCCATGTGTTCTTACTTACCACCCATCTCTCAAAAACAGCTTCGGTGTCATTCGTGAGCATTGGAAAACAGTTGAAAAGAATTCCAAACTATCCAAGATTTTTCCCGAGCCTCCCATGATAGCTTTTAGGCAACCCAATAGTCTGCGTAACCTGCTGGTGCGGGCTGAAGTGTCTGATAATAGAAGTACTTCTGGAGAATGTCGTTCGTGTGATGAAAAACGCTGCAAATGCTGCCTACAGATGCATCACTCATCAACTTTTCACAGTAAGGCAACCGAAAATAACTATAAGATATTTTGCAATGTTAACTGCAAAAGTATGAATGTTATTTACATTCTAGAATGTTCGGTTTGTGGCCTCCAATATGTTGGTGAGTCAAAGCAGCCTTTCCACAAACGCCTCAATGGCCATAGGAGTGATATCTCTAAGAAGCCACTTCTCCCAGTTTCTCAACATTTCAGACAGTCTGGTCACACACTTGATGACTTTAACCGCATGAAGATCCTAGTGATTGAACAGAACATTCACTGGAGTGATGCCCAGCGACAGGTTCGGGAAAGCTTTTGGATAAAGGAACTAAATGTACATCATCCAAACGGCATCAATAAAAAATACTAAGTTTTATTTTTCACTCATTTTGGGTTGTAAATATACACAGTCACGTATATTTGAGTATTGAGTTTTGTTTTATATTATGATGTTCAGGATTTTGGATTAAATCAATAGACCAAAACTTACCTGTATTATTGAGCTATTTTTATACATATTATCAGTATTGTTAAAATAATTGACACCGAAGAAGGCTATTTGTTAAGCCGAAATATTTGTCAACACGATTTATTAACAACATCTTCGTATAATACCATCTTATATTAGTATCGTTGTGCAAATCTCTAGACTTATATATATATATATATATATATATATATATATATATATAAATGTCTAAGAATATAACTTAAACACGCTAATTAATACATAAAAAAAGTTCTATTAGATTTTAAATAGAAATACGCAATATTTCGCTAAACAAATTAGCTTCATCAGGCGTGTGCATCTCTCAAGGTGAAATCGGATGCACGACAAAACATATTTTTGTAGCTTGAACTACACAAAATTTGAGTAAATGTTTAACATATTTATTGATGTTCTATAAAAAATATATATGTTTGTAGCTACAACTACATAAAGTTGGAGTAAAAGTTTAACATATTTCTTGATGTTCAATAAATTGTATGAATTTCTATAAATTAATTTGTATGATAGTAACTGTATCAGTTTTTTTTCACAAACTGATCCACGCCTAAATAGAATATATATATATATCAAAAGTTCAGAAAAAGCTATCGTTAAAGATTTATTTTTCATTTTT